GTATCTAAAATACTAAAATGCTATGGAAAGCGATGAATACAGGTCCACGACGTAAGTGGTGAAGGAAGTAGTAAAGGCTGGCAGTGCAGAGTGGGGGAACCGTTTGAGCAGATGGATAAGTGAATTTGTAATACTTAAATGCTATGAGAAAGGAAGGAAATAGGCCAATGACGTAGTAAATGGTGAAGGAAGTAGTAAGGCTAACAGCGCAGAGTGTGGGAACTGTCTTTGGCAATTACATTAATGTATCTGCAATCCTAAAATGCTATGGGAAGAGAGGGAAACAGGTCCACGACGTAGGGTGTGGTGAAGGAAGTAGTAAATGTGAGCAGTGTTGAGTTTGGGAATGGATTAATGTATCTGCAATGCTAAAATGCTACGGGAAGAGACTGTAGACTGTAATATGTTAAAAATGATTACGAAGCACAAATCGATACATATTTTCGATACATGCAATCGTTTACAATCGAAATTTACAACTGAGTTGACAACAGCTGATTTTTACTCCATAGAGGCTAAAAACGATTTTTACTCCCTAAATATTAAAAATGCTATACTTTAGACCCGCAGCGCATGCATGAAAAAATACTGTTTTGACTGCAGTAAGACAAAAACAATATAATATAAACCCTTGATGACTCCGCTCAATTTTGTGGATGCCTCTGCGAACGCCACCTAGTATATTGTGGTGGCATCTTCATGGACAACTTGACAGCTAGAACTGAGTGATATTGAAACTGCAATAATACATTCTCATGATATTGATTTCTTCCAACACTGGTACCCCGGTGCGACCTCGGGCTGACATTTGCCGTGTGGTAGGTTTGGTGGCCAGTGTGCCAGTTCCCAGTTCCTACCATACCATTAGGCAACAGGCAACCCAGAGTACCACACTCTGGCATGAGCTCCATCTGACACTGTGACTTTCTCTCCTCCTTTACAATCTATGACACAATAAACCGACTTGCTATGATTGTCCTCCTCACTAAGTCTTATAACTGATATCAGAGTATCTTGGCACAAGTTGAAACCCCCATTTGTTAAGTCGACATTCGTGGTTTTCATACTCGTTTGATTAACAATTATCGTTTGGATTTACGCTTAGGGAAATCTCCAACACTCAGATAGCTCATCTCAACTATAAGAGATGTATCTTTTTCAATTGATAGGTGGACATACAGCGTGTTAGACTCCAAACCACTGGGTTACGGAATCATCACATAGCAAGAAACCATAGAGAATCACTATGATCTGTCCCCAGTCCTTCAGGATAGCAGTATAGTGCCGTAACTTAGCCCCTAAAGTCCGTATGATTGAGCTACGTATGATTGAGCGGGACTAGTTCGGGCCTTTAACAATTGGCCAGTCCCGTGGTAGACCTTCGATCATGAGACAGGTCGGACAGGTCTCATCAAACAGAGTATATAGACTAACCGCGCACTATTAGTTTGATCTATTTTACTTTTTCCTCTGGCACATAGAAAGATTGCTTTTGACATGTTATCACCTGCCGTGTATGGAAGACACTTTTCTCTATGCCTATTTACTCTGGTTAATTGAATAACACAATTAGTTTACCAAGCAAATATAGGTTAAATATTGATTTCTCGACAGTAGCCTTGTTGCGCTTATTCACTCAATGACTTTGTATTCATTGTTTATCAGCAGACACTAATATTACTTAAACTTATTAGTGGTTTTTACTGTATAATAAATATACTGCGTTTAAATAAATAAATTAGTTATTTCTTACTCATAACCAGCTAAATTCAGTTAATATCTGTGCTATATCACAGTTAGAATTGATAATGAGGTAACTTAACAAACTATAAACAATGAATAACAAAATTCAATATTCCTATGTAATTATTTCAGTGGTGTTTGACAAAATAACATAACGTGAAACTATTCTATAGTTGAACATTCAGTCAAAATAAAATATAAATAATTTTAGGGATAGAAAACTACAAAAGTCGCCTACTAATCTCGCAATCGTTAAGGTCGTACGTGATTACCGCTTCTCGCAACGTAATTTGCGTGAAGACCCGCCAGCCCTGTAGTTAGTTGGCGAATAATTATATGTATTTTCTCGTCACAACTTTTCTTTTTTCAAACACACGTCTCCGGTCAACTTTCCGGCTTCAATTTGTAACAACTTTGCACACAAAGCACCAAATAATATTGGTTGCATCTGTAAAAAAATTTGCTTATAAAATATCGCCTGAAATTAATTGTAATTGTTGAGTAAGAGTTGGCAACACTGCAGTCAGCTGTTGCTGGATGCTCAGCTGTGGCGAAACGGCGGGAAGGCAGGAGAAAGTGGAGGGAAGGTGGCAAGTGTGTCAGATCAGCAGTCGCTGAAGCTTGAAATGCTGAAGCAATCATGTCGATGTATTCAGCCTAACGTTGAGCTTCTATACACAAATACATATAATGGTACTAACTTCGACACAGAGTTTATTTCAGGATCTTTCAGGTGTGCAAATAAAGGGTTTTCTATGGGGAACGGGACGATTGGCACACATTTTTGGATCTTCTGCCCATCCATGGCAGTATTGGCACAATCATTTGAGCGGGATAAGTAGGGTCAACTCGCCTGCTTGGAAAAGGCACGATTGGATTGGCACAACACTCGACCTGGTAGACGCCATCGAACGAGGGAAAACGGGAATTTTAAAATTCCCCATCAACTCTGCACGACAGTCATTTGCCGGTTATATCACGTATTTTCAAATGTTAGGTTATGTTAAGTTAGGTTAGGTCAGGTTGGTTAGGTTAGGTTAGTGTAGGTTTATTTGGATCCAGCTAGTGCAGTGACCGTAGCTGCAGATTTTTTGCGCAAACTTACACCTTGCTTACTCCAATAAGCACCACATCAAGGAATTTGTGGGACAAAATAATTTCCATTTTCCCACATTCTGGCAGCCTGGCTGCTACTTCCTTGCCGGGCTGTTGTGCCAATAGTGCCTTTCCGGACCTTTCAGGCTGACCCTTCTTAATCCCCTCTAATGATTGTGTCAGTGGTGCTATTCCAAATTGGCTAAAAATGTGTGCCAATCGTTGTACGGCCTTTCTATGATACTTTGAAGTTACGATAGGGTTGTCACACCCCTTTGTGTTTTATTTTTTGGTCATAAAACTATTAATTGAATGCTGTTCGATGTAATGTTTATAGTAAAAATTTTGCATAATGCCTAATACCTTAGCATAACGATGTAGACTTTTCCTACCACTTTTAACACTTGAAATTATTATAATCACTGTTTTTTTTTTCAAGCAATATAAAAAGTTGTCCCAACTAATAAAAAAAAATAAAATAAAAATAAAAAAAAACCTACCGCTAACATTTTCATATAACTGTTTTGACAAAAAACAACAATTTTTGTTAGGTTGCCTTTTTTGTCAGTTGCCTTTTGTTGTTTATGTTTTAGTAGTAACTGCATAATGAGAAATTACATATGACTAAAATCGTAGCTTAATTGTAAACAATTGATTCAGAAACTTAATAAAACTATGAATTGTAAAATTTGTCACAATTTTTATTCGTTCAGCCCTAAAATGAACTTCATTGGTAGATTATGGAAAAGTCGTAACTACTGTATATCACATAGTATATCACAGTACTCCCTGGTACATTTAGCCATAGATTAAAGAAGTAGACAAATATACTCCTTCGAATCGGAATTATGTTGTCTTATATTTCTAGATTACAAATTAGTACTACTCCTATATTGAGATACTCGTCTATAGCTGAATAGAGCAATCTTTACTGTGAACAGCTTTTGGAGCTTTCCTGGTTTAGATTTCAATTAATGCAATTCAATTGACATGTTTAATACTTAATTGATCACTATGTAAAAACATTAGTGCAATATTTGTCCTTACTCCTTAAGGTAAGACTTTTTTCAATTTTTGTGGAAATTATTCAGATCAATGTTAAAACAAAAGAGAAAAACGTCTTAAGTAGTTCTGAAGCTCACTCGAATATCATGTAGCACCTGAATAAAAGGCCAAGTTAAACAATGTATTGCATTTCCTGTTTACATACCGTGTTTAATAGTCCTACTATCATAGTTTATGTCCAACATACAGTCCGTTATGTGGTATATCAAATCAAGGACTTCTCCATCACAGACGCGTTGTAAGGCCAGCCGTAGGAATAATCACAGTTCCCTGGTTTACAATATTTAGAATATTCAAATATGTAAAGGAGCTTGTATCTGACCGCTGTACATAACTATGCCCAACCTTAATTGTTGAGTTCATTATACAGTTCGAAATCTTTCGTTATTCAACCGGTTTTGAAGAACCTGAGACCATCGTTCATGGATGTTGTCATACAATTACCTACCTAAATGTCGGCTTTATACTTTGAAACTGATAATAACACGCAAAAAAACTTTGCTTTATCTTGTCTGTACTAACTAGTATTTACTTTTCCGTAGTCCAAGTTTTCAACCTAAAAGCACAAAAATGAAAGTTCGTAGCGTAGACAGACGAGATCACGAATAGTGTTCGCGTTAAAGATTGACTGGCTGTATATAATGTTAAATCCCGTTACAAAATTATCGTTTACATCTTGAATGCCACCTATGATGTTTAACTATTTGTATACATTAATGAGATATTAAAAGAATGATTTATGTTTTCGCAAAATTGGTGCATGACGATACTGAATAGTGAAAATAAATAGTGAATCAACTAAATATTCGTCGGTAATAACCAAGAATGTTTCGTAAGACCATTGATTATACTACCTACAGATAAATCTTTATAAACATCCCCCTGCTTGAAGCTTAAGTAAGAAAGTGAATTATCGAGACACAATTTGTAGGGAAATTGTAATATGTGATTTGTACGGCTTTGCTGCACCGCTATTCCGTACTGGCTTCGAATGCAGCATAGTACCACTGTGGTGCGCACTAGTTCACAAAAAATATTGTTGTGTGTTTTTTGTTGTTTTATGTTTATTGTTGTTAATTATTTATTCATTTTTGCAGGCCACCAGAGGATTCTCAAGGGTATAAATGGCATCTTCAAGTCCGGCGAGCTCACGGCCATCATGGGGCCCTCAGGAGCTGGGAAAAGTACACTCATGAACATCCTTGTGGGCTACACGTAAGTGAAGCAAGTTCAAAGTTACTTAATACATGCAGCAATGTAACTATTTAAGTTAATTAAGTGAAGCTGCTGATCGCTGGTCATCACAAATTTCACTAATCGCATCACAGAAGTTATTCTGTTATAGTATGAGAGAGGTTTGCACATATATAAAGGTTTTGCTTATTGAACGGTACGTGTCATTTGGGATGGCTGCATATCAAACATATCCCGTTATATATCTCGCATCTTGTTGAACGTCAAGTCAATATTAAGGTATGTTTAGCTCAGACAGATGGAAATTTGGCGTTTGCTATTTCTTTCTTACAATTTCACAGAATTGATGAACGATTTATCAAATTTAACCATCCATACATAAAAATCCTCTGCCACATGGCATTTTAATTTTAAAATAAATCAAATTTTGTTTAAAATCCTAAATTAAGATAACACAGTCGACAATTTGAGTCGACACCAGCGCTCTTTAACCACAACCTCCTTCTGGGCATCTAACACACTCCCAGACAGGGTTTGGATTTCGATGAGAAGTATTCTTAGTATCCAATGCTAGTGGTTTCATGTAAGCTATTCGCTATTGTTAAGAATATTCCCCATTGGTAACAACCTATTACTTTTGATGGACGTTTAATTGAATGTACTTGGCAAAGAGGCTCTTGCCACCATAAATTAGTTAGCAGTATGGTCGCCTTTGGGGATTATGTTTTCAAATGATTCTAGATATGCTTTTTTGCAATGTTTTCCTCGTCCAAATGTAACTGAACCCGACCAGGAAATAACGCAGAAGGCGTGGCAATCCGTTCGGCATCTGGTTCCGTTGCTATAGAAACACATTGAACCCTTGTACCTTATTGGTCGAAGTTTGGTTCCGTTGCTATGGAAACGCACTAGAGAAACAGATCGAGATCAGCTTACTTTATAAGCTGTACAGTCAATTTTTATTTTGAATTCCATGGTTAACCAGAAAATGGCAATCCACGGGTCTTCCATTGGTAGCCTTTTTTCTTAGCCTATATCTAATAGTTTTCAAATTTAAAACAAATCCTAAATATGAGGCTAATAAAAGAGATGGATGGTGTTTGTTTGGTAAAACTAGACTGTAAAAGGAATTAGAGAAATTTATTACGGCATTCCCTGAATTTATCAACCTCAATCTCGGCCTATAAGGTGCCAAATTATCTTTATTGCCTCGTCCACTTTATATCTTCTACTTTATAAACAAGTCTAAACATTTCCAAGGTTGACTTGCGAAAACACCCGACCCGGGTTTGCAAAAATCGACAGGAAAAGTGTTATTTTGATTAGCATCGCCTGTGAACCGTATCAGTCGAATCTCCCCTTGAAAGCGAACTGCCGAATTGAAGGCGAATCTTGATCAAATTAATTGAGCTTTCAACGCAGCCTAAGGATTAAGGATATTCAGTAATATCGTACTGTTTATTCTACTACTAAGTGGGATTTTATGGGGGCAACTACTTAGTATCCAAGCGAGATAGATAAATGTGACGATGATTCATTTATCTACTTCTTATCCAATACACAATTCATTATCTGAAAAGGACATAAGTCAGACTAGCAGTGTTTTAAACCAAAATATGAATGGAAGATAGAAGCTGAGTTGATACTGTAAGGAACTTTTTGTTTTGTTAGGTACTGAATAAGCAAGTACTTCATTACTAAACTTCGCCAGCCAGTACTTTGACTTCGTCATCTTTGTTACTTCATCAGCTGTTTCGCCAGGACTTTAAAAATCAAGGAAAAGTTGATTCAGCAGGATTGGTTTCTAGACTCGATTCTGTCACGATTTTCCGTTTTCATTTTGGAACGCCGTATGAAAAAACGTCATTCCCGGCCATTACGAAAGTCACCACATTTAGTAACAATAACATACGTACGTAATTCTGAACAATATAAAAATAAACAGCATGTATGATTTAATGATCTCTTACAACATAACATCGCACTAATAGGTCACTTATCGCATTATAACTTAGTTGATGCAATTATAATTAATTGCTTTTTCTATGCCAGGTGTTTTTTTCCTAGACAAGGACATACCACAGAATCAGGTGTGACCCTGAACAGAGTTGAATTCCTGTTCCGAACAGAGGGCGTTGGTTGTGTTATGTTGAATGAGTCCACGAAGATAGAAAACGTGACTTTCATGTTGTAGACGAAAGACGAACGTTACAGGGACGGTTTGTACGTAGAGGGAATATTCTTCATCCAAGGCAGAGGAGGTCTTATTAATAGGTTTTCGAACAGTCTCACTGGACGCATAACCCACTGATACACTACGATCACGTCAATAAGAATAGGAAAGCTTTTAAGGATGCGCTCTACCTCAGCTCGGAAATCTCAGCTCGGGCTTCAGTAGCTATGTTGCGCCATTGAACAGCGCCGCGAGAAGCGCTTGCAGACGTTCACGGCAATTGTCTTTGTAAACTACCCATACATGCTAGTAGAAAACAATGAGTGGGGTTTTACAGAACAAAGAACAATCCATGCGACCTTGGTTTCAGAATTTTAAAGTAACAGTTCTGTAATTAGTTAAAGCAGTTTAAAATTGCCGATTTTCGTCTACATTGAAAGATGATTTTCAGGCTGTATATACGATATTAAACATATTACCACAACAATCTAGATAATTTAATCCTCTTCAAAATGCCACCCTAACTTTGGTTCTACGTTAAGTGTAGCCTTCGGAAACACTGTTGCCCCAAACCCTTGCGTTTACACAAAACGGCAGGGGTAGAGCGTACCCTTCTAACTCTCCTCTCTATGCATGTTGCTGGCAAAACACTATAAAAATATTATAATATTGGCCTTCTGTACCTTAAAATTTAGTATTACATTAAACTAGGTGAACCTGTGCGAATTCGCACGAATAATAAATTAGGATATCATAGCAACTTCGTTAGAAGTTGCGTTGTTGTGTCGACGTTGGTCTTGAGCTCGATCGTTGACTATATGCATTCTAAGTTCTTTTTGCTGTTCAGTAGGGGTATTTTGCAGGACGGAGCTCATCATGCTGAAAACTTGCGCGTATGGATTAATATCAAGTTGAGTCAGTGCTGCAAGAGCCATTAGCTTTGTTTAGCATTCTTTCTTGAACAGCGGTTTCGACGTCCGTAGGTATAAATTTAGGCATATGTGGGATGCTCCCCTTCTGACGGTTGAAAGGTGACAATTGGGTGATAAATTGTGTCGTGCACCTTATACATGAAAGGCCCTCCACCGTTATGTTCTTCAATTTTAGCTCGAGTGCTGACCATTGCGAGCGCAGGAGTTGTACGATCTAATGTTCTCTTTGTAGTTTCTGCTCAAATGATTTGCTCCATTAAGTAGGCTCTTAATATAATAGATTTCTTGGTATGGTGGTAGATTCACTTTTCCTTTATGGCAGCAGGATGAAAATCCTTCGCCTCGTCCTCTTTGTTCTCCTTTAAAATGTAGTACACCACATTTCTGACATTTTAATGCCATCTCGCCAAGTGAATGCTGCTGAATTCTTGTTTTTGTCAGGGTAATTTTGTAAATACACGTTGCCACTAAAATTATAACTGTTCCAGCTCTTCGTCTGGGCTCCTTACGTTTTGCATTGCTTGCCGTATGTTGACTCGCCGTGTCCGACCGGCAATATTTCTTTGTCGTCGGGTCCTTGGCATGTTTAAACGAAAATATAATGTAAAACTTTTCTCCCGTCGTGTCCTATAGGTAACATTTCTTTGCCGGGTTTCTAATTGTTTTAAAAAACATGCAAAGTGTATACATTTCAAAACCAAACAAAACAGCTTGGATTTAACTTTTTTTAAACTAATGTATTGACATCTGTTTCAGAATATAATAACATTAAAATCAATCACAATGTTGTCCTTATGGAAGGAACTTTGAGGGCAGCCCACGCCCTTAAAAATATATATTTCGAAAATCTAAAGCCAGTTTGCACATCTACACACCTAGACGAACATTTTGGTACATAATATGTGGGGTTAAATCTTAAAATAAAAAAGCCTTATTGTTCACAAAGTTTCATGTCGCGTATTAAATATATAGATTTCATGCTAAGTAAAAAATACATGTAATTAACAATAATTTCTTCAAACCACTTACAAAAAATAATAATATGAGCATGAAATGTCACACTGGATTCTATTTTTTCGTGGCGTTAGCGAATTTGGACACGGTTTCGACATTTTTGCAAATCAGCTGACCAGCTCGGCCTGTAAAACTTTCACTGTTGCTCGGTTACTTGATCTTTCCTTGCAGAGTCTCGGTGATGCAATACTTGTCCGGCCCTGATAGCCTTTCGTAATTCTGGCGAATCCCTCTGTTAGCGAATTCTGCGGTGACCGTTAAACGCGATAAACAATGATTTATTGGATATCAACATCATACTTCATCCTCCAAACAACTGAGTAAGCCATGCCTTTCAAAATATATTACTGGTAGGCCTACCTATAATAAAAACCCTCTGTCTCAGCAGCAGTGGATTTGATGAAAAAAAAACGTCAAATAGCAAATTCTCCTCGGAAGTGTTTTAATTTGCTTCTAATTTTGGACAGCAAAAGAGAGAAAGCTAATCCACCTAATATTACATCAATATTAAATACAAATGAATAAACCCAACAAATAAACAAAACTTCAACAATCAAACATTATTGAGTTAATTAGATAACAAATTATATTGTTCCGGTCACTACAACCATAACAACCCTTTCGATTTAGGAAAATATAGTAAACAGAAATGGAAGAACGAAAAATGCCAGGACATCGTCTAATGACGCAATAATTGTAAGCATTCTAGGATCTAGTTTATTTGCGACACGGCCGGCGTTATAAGTTATTAATTAATTTGATTATTACAAGTTGAGTGCTAACTCACCAGACTTGATGGTGTTGTTTAGATTTTGCTCGTAACGGATGTCAGAAATGTCATGTTGCTAATGCTTCCCTTTCCTGACAGGAGTCAGGTAATTAAAATCAAAGCCTTGGCACAGGTCTGTGACTTGGCAGGAATTAAGATTGCCCAATTTCATCTTATATTTCATATATTTGAAGTTTTTGCTATGTTATCACACTTGATACCTACACTTCGTCCTCAACAAAAACGTTTTACTGTGATGAAAATTGAAGAAAGTGTGCTGGTGTCAACAAAATAATTTCTCTAATTTCTGGTTAAATAGTGTGTGCTTTACTTTCGTTATGCTACGTAACACAGCTTAAATAAGCTTAAGCTGATAAAAATGTTGATAAATCTTTCAAAGAACATTTATTCAATACCATTGACCTTTGGGTAACTGAGGTAGACATCCCACCTATGTGGTCCACTGGTCCAAGTGTTATAAAGCTTTTATCAAGTAGTTCACAGCTGACGAGTAACTGGTTGCTACTGTCTAGGAGGACTCTATTTCCACACTTAATTGTTGTTGCTGTGATAGTTGATACAAAAGATGCTACAGTGTGCTGTACTACAATAGAGTTTCCTTTCAGTTTGGCTCAGTTAAAAAGTCGACATATTCAACAGAAATCAGTAATTTACACCAGCACACTGCCATTGGCTAAATCCAACTAACTTCATTTTTATTCTAAAACTGGTGACAACTTTAAAATGGGAATTAAGCTGTAAGGATGGTCTAAACATGTTTTTTTATAAGTGTTTAAGATCATGAAAACGATAACACACTTTTTGGAAGTGTTAAAGAGTATGACGATTAAAAGGGAGATTAAATTATCTTTTTTGTTGAGACAACTTAGTTTAAATTACCGTTACTATCAGTAAATACTCTCTGGAAATAGTACAAAGAAAACCATGCAATATTAATTCTAACCTCTGTCCGCAGGTCTGCAGGAGTGTCAGGTACTATCATGACCAACGGGCATCCACGGCAGATGAAGCTGTTCAACAAGCTGAGCTCCTACATCATGCAAGAGGACATGATCCAACCCAGTCTGACAGTGCGTGAGGCGATGATGGTGGCGGCTCATCTCAAACTGGGAGACGAACTGTCAACCGAGGACAAAGAACTGGCGGTAAGTGAAGAATGCATGCATGAGGCATCCACGGCTATCTTTTGAATGATGATAGTTTTGTGGCGTTTATTAAAGAATTTGTGATTTTACAAATTCCTGTGAATCCAAAGGTAAAATTTTATCTTATATGACTGGCATTGAAATTCATTAGAAGGAAATAATCATTAATTTTGTGACGATTCTGTAATGCTGTGTATGTTATTAAAATACAACAAGTAAAAAAGTTAGGAATATTTTAAAGTCAGTGGCTACATTTAAAACATGTTATGAAGAGTGTAGCACAAAATAAGCAAGGGAGTTTAAGCATGGATTAAAGGTCTATACCTACTCTTTAATCTGTGGTTTAAGTCAATTCTTCAATGCGGAATTGAAGATAATGAGGCAAAGTGACAAAGAATTTCAGATATTTCAATGGAAGGAATGACAACTGATATGGTAGGCTTTGTAAGGAGGACCTTACCCTCTTGTTAATAAATAGAGAACAAATGCCGTTATTCATACAAAGTATTCAACCTTCAGCTTCAGCAATTCTTCCAAATAAAAAAAATATCGTGGTGTTTTTTCACCTGCTGTTAATTACTAATTATAACCAACTTACAGCTTTGCCATGATAACAATTACAACTTGTGCCTATCTAGGTGGTGGAGATCCTAGATACCCTTGGACTGTCGCAGTGTGCAGAGACTTCCACAGAGAGATTGTCCGGGGGACAGAGGAAGAGAGTGTCAGTCGCTCTGGAGCTAGTCAACAACCCTCCGGTAATCTTCCTGGATGAGCCCACCACGTAAGTACCATTACCATACCTGTCTTCTGTTGTGTTATTTAAGAGGTTATATGGTAATTTTCCATAACAATTAGTAAAAAACCAAAGTTTTCACGAGAAATATATGATAGTTAAGTTAGTATCTAAAACATGTTTATACACAAATTCATCGAAAACTGGAAAATAAAAAAAAATTAAAATCATACAGGGTTTGGGTATTTTTTTATAGCCAAAGTCAACGCTTTAAATTACAAAACCTTTGTTCATCTAACAATAATGAGGATCTCCTGACAGTTTGCCAGTTATTGAGACAGCTCAAGTGATTGTGTTTGTATTATAGCCTGAAGAAACTTTCAAGTTCAAAACCCATTGAGAGATGACAAAAGTCCTCTCCTTGCCAGTCAGAGGTTCCATGTCTGATGTAGTTCCCAATTCATTGTACTTTAAGTGTGCTCTCTTAACAAGAATCTAAAAACTATATTGTTGGATTTTAGTGGACGTGTGATTACTTTACCTACTATTCTTCCATAAATTTATGTTCCCTAATGACATTGCTTTAAGTATTTTAATTTTTAATCATACACCTTAGAGTAAGATTGATGTTGGTATTTAGTCAAGACGTAAGTATAAGATGCTGTCATATACAGGTAGTAATTTGTACTTGCCTCTATTCATTAGAGGTTAAAAAATAATTCATCCAAATAGATTTCAAGCCTTGACTTTGACACATGTAGACATTTCATCAAGCATTCCAACTGCCTCATTTTTCAAGTGTAATGAATTAAACCGGTGTAAATCTATCAGCTGTTGCCCTTGAAACATGTCAGGAATTCTAATCACTCACAGCTATTGGTTCAATATTTATAAATGGAAGTTAGTCAATCTTCTGTATAATTTATTCATTCTGGTTTAGCAATAGTCAGACGAAAACAAATAAAATAAAATAAAATCATAAGGGACCTTTTGTGCTTGCGCCACCATTAATCCTAATCCCGTTGTTTTAAATTGATTAGAGGTATATAATCCTCAGAAAATAAAACAAAAATCCTTTTATGTGTAATTATAGTTTATAATGTTGTATATATATATAAATATAGCCTATATATATACCTAAACGTAGCAATATGAATTGATTCACCGAGTTCAAAATAACAATCAGGCAACTAAAACAGTCAGCAAGTAATAAAAAATAATCTTTGAAACATTAAAGCAAACAATTTATTTACCAGAGCTTGTGACCATACATATACTAGACATGCCATTGCCATTCCCAAGCAAAACCTTAAATCTCTAGCTAAATTTTTATTCGACGATATACTTATGTAATAAGACTCGATTATTTTAACCTCAGTCAATTTGTTTTCCAGAGGTCTAGACATAGTGTCAATAAACAACTGTATTCAACTACTGAAGGATCTATCCAGACAAGGGCGTACCATCGTCTGCACCATCCACCAGCCCAGCGCCACCATGTTCCACATGTTTGACGTGGTCTACATGTTAGCTAGAGGGCAGTGTGTCTACCAGGGATCTAGTCATCAGCTGGTGCCGTTCCTTAGTCACTGTGGACTGCAATGCCCACCTACCTACAACCCGGCAGACTATAGTGAGTACAGTTGCGATCGGTTTTTTTAATACTTTTGCGACGCTCCTATGGGTAGTCTTGTCTAGCTTTAAGTGAATTTTTCTTCTATGAACAATATTAAGGGCGCGCTCTACCTCAGCTCGGATTTATCAATACGAAGTTGCTGAGCACCGATGCATTGAACAGCGCCAAGCAAGCCTTTCGAATCTGGGTGATTACATCGTTATTCTTAAAGTGTTTAATAAACTAACTGTAGATTCTTGTTTTTAAGAATCTAATGCACTTTTCCAGTTTTTTATTTTTTCTCAAAAAATTATTTGTTTGCGTTAAAACTTATGATAAAAAACGTGTATTTTAACATTTTTTTAATTATCAAAATTAAAAAAAAAACATCAAAACTACAATAATATTTATCAAAAAATATGACACCAAGATCTTTTTAATCGGTTTACAATTGGGGCTACAATCAGTAAGAACTAAACCCCTTGCATTTGTGCGCGCCAGACGGGTAGAGCGCAGCCTTAACAATCTAAAATTTAAACTTTTTCAATACACTACAAAGTCTGTAAATCATTCATTGGACATCTTGTTTTAATGAATAATTCATTAAAGACGTTACTGTTATATGCTTTTCCAGCTGCAACACATACTATTATTGGACAAGTACACTACATTCTCGAGATGCAATAATCATCGATCAACCTTGTAGATTACAAGATAGGTAGTTTGTAGTTTACAGAGAGCTTATCACAATTAATGGCTGTTTCCCTAACAATGCAAACTTGTCACTTGACCACATGAATGGGTCAAGGAAATTGAAAGTAGGTTGACTGCCCATTGCCCATTGTACTTTATCTGCAAATGTAAATCAGCTGGAGACATTAGCATAACCAGGCTCCTAATTGATCAGTGACAAGTTACACTGCGACAGAACAGATAAGGTTTTGGTTTTAAACCTCATTGAAGAATCTTTCTACAGCATCTTGATTGTTACTTTAGTGATTCGCGTCTGCATTTCTCAAAATACTGTATGTCCGTTTTAAGAAGTCATTTAAAGAAGCTCAAGTCGTGGATTATGTTCAGAAAAATCTGACAACAGTTTTTCCTACCATGGAAGCACATAAGCTTGAATATGTAGCACTCTGTTTCCATGTTTACAAAAACTCAAGGAACTGCCATTAAATCCCACAAGGAATTACACTTTTACGTTCATGTGATGTCTTGTACATTAAAGCGAGATAGTAAATTTAATCCAATCTCAAGTGTACCGTACTGTTCTAGTAACCAACCACGTGTAATTCAAAATATCCATTTGTCCAAATTACCAGTGTCAATTATTCTAATCTTCTAATTATTCTAGTATTTCTAATTATTCTAATAGTTCTAATTATTCTAAGTTAATTCATCCAATTGCAATAATGACTTTGTCAAATTTCTTCAAAAAGTAAAGCCGGTGACCAAAGAGTTCCACCTTCAGCCAATAGATAACCGGTCAGTGCTATCAATAGTAAGATTATTAAAAACCTCCCGATCCGAAGATATATTTGGTTTGTCAAATAATGTCGTAAAGGAAATCATCCCTTTCATTTTAGAACCATTAGTCTATCTCATAAACTTGTCTATTTTTTCAGGTACATTTCCCCATTGCCTAAAATTTTCTAAAACACACCCAATTCATAAAAAGGGGGACAGAACAGTTATTGATAATTTTAGACCAATTTCTCTGATTCCAATCTTTTCAAAGATAATTGAACATCATGTGAAATTTCAACTCTACAGTCATCTTGATAAGCACGAAATTCTGAGCCCATCTCAATTCGGTTTCAGACCTGGTTTTTCAACAATAAAGGCAGTTGACAAATTGATTTCTGAGGTATTGAAATCTTTTGAAGACAACAAATATCTTAACGTAGCTTTAATGGATCTCAGTAAAGCTTTCGATAGTACGTCACACCAAATTATTTTGCATAAATTAAAATTTTATGGAGTCCAAAAAAATGAGCTAAATTTCTTCAATACTTATCTATGTGGCAGATTCCAACAAGTGGTTGTTGGGCAGGACTCATCTGAGTTTGAGGAAACTGTAGCGGGAGTCCCTCAAGGGTCTGTGTTAGGACCTATTCTGTTTCTATTAATGATTAACGACTTACCGGTACCGAGTAACCTATCTTGCCAATCACTCTTATATGCCGATGATACCACTTTCTTTTCCTCAAGTAGTAGTTTTACTGAGTCTGAAGCCACGGTCAACAACGCAATTACTTTATCTTCTAATTGGTTTAATGCAAACTCTCTTACCTTAAATCATGAGAAAACTGAGCGGATTTGCTTTTCGCTAAAACACTTAGAAGGTTCAAATATCCCGTCAACAGTGAAACTTTTAGGCATACATTTGGATGCAAAGCTTACCTGGCAACGCCACACTACACATGTTGTGTCTAAGATCTCCCGAGTCTGCTTTTTGTTGAGAAGACTAAAGAGTTGCGTCTCGGATAGTATGCTCATTACTTCTTATTACAGTTTCTTCCACTCTCATCTTCTGTATGGAAACATTCTGTGGGGTAATAGCGCTGGAGCCAGAAAGGTTTTCTCATGGCAGAAAAAAGCACTGAGAATAATTTTTGAAATACCACGCAGAACGACCAGCAAACCTTTTTTTAGCAAACACAGAATAATGACTCTACCGTGTATATTTATTTTTCAAAATTTGCTATTTGTTAAAGAAAATCTTTCATCATTCACAAAACGTAATGAATTTCATAGTTATAATACTAGAACAAGTAACCACCTAGATATTCCAATAGTAAGATTATCAAAATCAACTAATAGTCACAAATTCCTCCAAATACAGCTCTTTAATAAGCTACCTGTATCGTTTCAAGAGCTTAGCTTTAATAAATTTAAAAATAAATTGACAGTTTGGCTTATTGACAGAAGTTTTTTTTTCAGTAAAAGAATCTTTAGGATACCAAATATCTAATATATAGTTCATTGTTTTTTTTCCTTTTCAACTCCTGTTGTAACTTATTTTCTTTCAACACGTCAATTGTGTAATCCATAGAAATTTTGTATTTATTTTGACGTTGTCTATTGTACTTTTGTTTGTATTTAATGACAATAAAGATATTCTTATTCTTATTCTTATTCTAATCTATAATTAAGACAAACCAACACAAAACAACTATTTGCAGAAGCATTGGCCCTCTTCTTATAAAATCAAATTCACCTCTCTAACCTAAGTTTGAGCGTCTTTGTCCAGATTGTGGCGTCAAGCTAACTGAGCTAACCCACTAGGCAATGCAAGGCAAAGGCAATACGATTCATTGTTAGGGTTTCTGTCTCACAGAAACAAGGCTAATCCTGGACCTGTGCTTCTCAAAAATGTTTTTAACATGATCTTTCCACCTAAGCGCAATGAAACAAGTTGTGTCCATAAGACAAAGGCAGTAAGCTTATGAATTTTGATTTTTTTGTTCCAGTTTTTGAAGTTCTCTCATTAGACGTAATCAATTTGATGACATCAGAAATACAAAATGGTAGAATTATAAAGCTGGACCCCCAGACTGCTTCAGAACCGCCTAGATCTAAGCTTTGTAAGTATTGTTTTGTAGCGCTGACATCAAACCATTTAAATGCAACAAAAACCAAACACAAAACTTCTTTTGACCAGTAACCATGAGATTTTACATAAGATGATTTCTATGATTTGTGTTCAATTTCTTTAAGCAAAAGTTGTTCACTGTTTTTCAGTATCCATTATTTATTTTATTGTTTGAAAATATTGTTAAAAAGCATCTATATGGTACTACAGTTTTAAATTCTTGTGTCTCTTCCTCTTCTGCCTTATATTTTGTAATGTTCTAATTTTGCTGTAGATACTTTAAAACAACCCATGTATTGCAGTGTTTTTTAATTTCTACTTTAATATTATAGAAATTTTTTTATTTCCGATAAATAGCGGCTCATGTGTTTATTTGTTTATTTATTTAAATGTGCCTATTGCATGGTGTTGTGCTTAACTTTAAAATGTCAAATGGACTTTGGATTACTGCTTCTGCTGTTCAACCATTCACAACTCATTGTCACTGTTTGCATTTATGGAGTTCTAACGATCTAGCACAATTCATTAGATTTACTGTCATTTTTCATGTTGTATTGGTTTGTTTGAATGTTTTTCACTTTATTGCACTTCTATGTTGTTTGACTTTGTTTGTTGTGTGTTACATGTCATTTGAGTCATCATTGTGTAATTGATATGAATCTTCTGCCTCTTTGGCGCCGCAGGAGAATCTACTTCTTGTTAAGGGGGTATTATTTTATCATTCAACGCTTTTATCTGTCAGCCATTCGTTAAATACAATTTTATGTTAACTGTTCTCTAAAGGAAACATCAGATTGTTTTTTTTTATGAAAAGTATAAATGTGTTCTGTACCGTTATTGGCTATATAATGTTTTATATCAGTTTCATTAAAATTAAAACTTCTTATCACCTACTACAATTAAATATTATTTGAAACAAATATGAAAAACAGCAGAATGCTAACAAAATCTTTAACGATAAATGCATAAAATAATCATTGGTACAACAATGGTATAGGTAAGTGAGCAAAGTTTAAAACAGAACCTTAATTGACCCTCGAGGAGGCGCTTACGGAAGATAGCTCCGCACATTGAGATTTTGTCCAAAAAAACTTCTTAAATGGAGTCTCCAGTCGTGTCCGGCTCTCTACTTGACACGCCACATTCCTCTACTTCTCTATTTCCCCAAAACAATTTTTACACCCACCCTCCCTTAGGTTAAATCGTAGATGCGAGTAAGTAAGTGCAGTTATGTTGCGGAGGTTTTCCCCATTTATATCACATAGGAGTTTTTGATTATACACTTTCCTAAAATATGATTATCCTGTTAAATGATTATTCTATTAACGAGTAATTGCTTCATTGCGGATAAAATCTGCACATGCGCCCTATTCCGTAACACCAACCTTAACCCTCCGAGTGTTATGTGTCGTAAAAGCGACTCATAACACATCCGCTGTAGTGTTATGTGTCGCTTTTGCGACTCACAAACACTGTTTACGGCGACGGCTCTGGGACTGACTGAATCGGATTGAACTGGATCGAGTTAGGTATTGTTTTTTTCAGCAGATTCAGAGCTTTCTCCTGATGTCTGTTTCTATACGCTTTTCATTTTTGTTCCGAAAATATTGTAGCAGACAGCTGACGTGCGTATTTGTAAACAGCTTGGTTAACCTCGCACCGATGACTGATGTTTTTTATTACGTTTATCATTGTTTTAGTGTTAAAAATCAAAAGTAGTGATATACGTGGTGCATTATAAGAAGATTTAAGTGATTTTGAAGGGCTGGTTGATGATCCTGAAGAAGTAGGTAGGGATATTGATGTATTATCAGCCAGATTCCTAGCTATGGTTAGGCTATGCATTCTTAGCTAAGCTCTATGTACCGAAATCTGTTTTTTGCCCATAACTTATTTATTTGCAAACCTACTTCCTCATAATATTATATTTTTGGAATCCTCATAAAATTCTGAACAAAGTGGCTATTTTAGAATATTTGTAGACCTATAAATTATAACAATTTATTGAGCGCAAACATAATTTTTTTCATTTATTTTATAATTTTTGAGAAATGTTAACCCCACAAAAATTGTTGAACATTTTTTTGTAATGTTTTATATGTTACATTGAAGCCCATAATTTTCCAAACAAAATGATATATAAAACAGTATACTTTACATTGTTTTTAAGTTTCTAAGATACATTTTAATAAAACCCTGCGATTGTGCAATAAATGGGCTAACATTAAGACCAAAACTAGAGACACTTGGAGGGTTAAAAACCCACTTAACTATTTCAAAAACTCATTATGGTTTTAGTAATATTACAAATAGTTGTTGTATACTTTAGGGTTTGAAAATGAATTGGTTCCTTATCACTTTAGATAGAAATTAACTCCATAATTACGTGATAAAATAAAATGAAATTAAATCAATTTGAATGATTATGTATGTGGAAAAAGCTTATGCATGCGCCCTCTCACGTTTTAAGGGTTAAGCGCCTGCTCGAGGGTTAACCACCAGCATTAGAAGTATTTTATAAGCACAGTACAAATATTTTCATTCATTTACAATTTTAATCTTAACTTAATAATGTAACCACCATAACTAGAAATTGCATAGAGTACACTGGTACACTTATTGATGTAACTACTAAACAACCATCTTAATATGTCATATCATTACTATAAGTCTTCTGGTCTATCCATCTGTCTTGTTGATTTCCTATCACCATCACAGCCACATCCCATTCCATTCACATCATCTGAGTGTCAGCCATTTTCATGTTCATTTTCATGTTGAAGTTGCACGTTGCGCTTGGCATGTTGCATGTTCCTCAGTGACTCAGGACACAACTCTAGGCAGTGATTATCCATCAGGTCGTAAGGAGACGATGGCAGTAATGCCCCACGTTTACGGGGTCGAACCTGAAACTCTCCAGTTTCCTACCTCCTTCTATCAGCAATTCTGCATCATACTGAGCCGGCTACTCTTGCAGAAGAGGAGAAATAGGGTGAGTAAAATGTTTGGTCGGGTTAAATCTGGAAATCTAAAATGATTCCCAAAAAATTATCTAAATGATTTCTAAAATGACCTTCTAAAATGATTCAGTAAGTGTCCAAATTTATAACACTTTAATCATTTATGCTTCATAAACTAAATCTATGAAAGAACCAAATAAGTACTGGAGACTCGCACTTCTTTAGACAGTTATGGACAGGAACCCTTGTCTAAAATATAAATAAAAACCAAACCATCAAAAAATAGTACAAAATATAATTAATAAATTTTAAAACCCCTTATTATGTGTGGAAAAGTTGGTATAGTACAGCAACAGCAATATACAGTACAATGTAGGATTATATAACTAAAATCTTCATACCAAACGGTGCAGTGAACATGGACTATGTGACTAATAAGAAGGTGGTTGTTTAAGCCATTTTAATTCTTGAACTAAACTGGTTTGAACAAAAAGTGTAGAGAATTTTTTTTCTATACATTTTTACCTTCAGAACTCAGTAAAATTGTTCAAACATTTTCAAAGTAAGTACTAGAAAGAGATGAGAAGTTTGGCAAATATTTTAAAGTGTTGGAACTCATAGAAACACAAATGTTTTGACAGCTGTTATCTTAAACTATGTTTTTGCTATGTAGAAATGCCCTTGACAACAGCACTGCGTTAGATAGGTGAAACCTTTAAAGTCACATATAAAAACATTATCCTAGCACTTGTACTTGGTTTAAGAAGGCACTAGGCCTTAACTATCCCAACAGCAACAGATACAATTTTGTGTTAAAATGTCAGTTTTGATATGCAGCTGCTACAGACTCCATCTGCCTATTGTGAAGATAAACAATGAAAAAAGTACTGCTTATAACTTGTACCTTTCATATGAAACAGTCAACTGACTAAAATAATTATTTTCCAGACGGCCTTGTGGTTACAAATCATCCACCATGTGTTCTCTGGACTTATCATTGGAATCATCTTCTGGGGCATCGGTAACAACGCCAGTCGACCATTCGAGAACTTCAAGTTCTGCCTGTGTGTTGTTGTCTTCATGATGTACACTTACGTTATGTCACCTATTCTAATAAGTAAGTACAAAATAAAATTGTTAGTATGGCCTATGGTTAAAAAATTTAATTAATTTAAATTTTTAAATTAAAAAGTAAAATATTTGTGGTAAAGTCATAGAGTTAAAATGGGATATATAGTTACTATATGGACTGTAACACATACTGTAAATTGTAATTGAATATGTAAATATCTTTGAAATATCTTAAAGATCTTAGATCTATGATCTTTGTGATATCATATAACATTTTGTTTTACTTTCTAGTGCCAACAGAGATGAAATTACTACGGAGAGAATACTTCAACAGATGGTACGGGATCAAAGCTTACTACATGGCTAGGACAGCAGTCACGATACCAATTACAGTGAGTACACCAACATTTTTTTATTATTTAATATTTTTTTAATAACTGCAATTATTAACAAACAAGTTGACATTAGAAGATCAAAGGTACCTAAATTATACACAGATATCATGTTTCAGATTAGCTTGGATTGAAAAAATTAAGGCATAACTAAACCAGTGAAGATATTTGCAAAGCAAAATTGTTCAAACTTCTAAGAAGTCAGGCACATTTTGGATTGATCACATTCTTAAAGAACAGAGCAAAGAGCTTTAAAGTATTGTCACACTGGCTTCTTCAATGTTAAGCTCTCAATGTTATTCTAGCTCTCTCATAAATGATTAAAGATATAGAAAGAAGAAACCCCTTTGATTTCAGGATAGGCAAATCAGTTATCAGCAGGAGTTCAATTCGTTACTCAAGCTTTTCCAGGGTTTTATTTTTTCCTTGTTCTAAAGCCAAGATTCTTGTTTTTCACAGTTCACACTGTGCATGCTCTTCAATGTTCTTGTCTACACCATGTCAGATCAACCCATGGAACTTGCCAGATTTCTCTGGTTCTGCTCTATAACGACAATACTCGCTTTTGTGTCTGAAGGCATGGGAATGCTTATTGGAATCATCTTCAACTGCACAGTAAGTATAGAAACTACACTAGAGATTAAATTAGAATATAACTAGGACAAATGACATATGGTAAAGCTTGTCATGGTTACATAGTTATCCACCAATACAGAGAAAGTTATGCGAGCCTGAGCGACCTCTCCTATTTTATTCTTAATACTGTATATGGAACGGGGTCAGAACTTGAGTACAGTAGACTCCCTCTAGTTCGGCTTCGGTTGGATCGGCCGCCGGATGGTCCGGCCCGGTCTCAGGGGGATAAGTCATACGTCACGGGCGAATGACCTTCGACAGGATTGAACTTGAATGTTTAGTTTCCGGCCATAGAAGTAAACAATTCATGTCAGTTTAGTTTACGGGTGCTTCTATGGGTGAATTGTTGCATATTACAGATATTACCTATGTAAAACTATGTTACATAACCTCAAAAATACCAAAATAATTTTTTATAAATAATTTTTCTTCAGTCCAATATGTTGAAATGCAGTGTATAATTAAATATTTCGGAACACTTTTTTATGCAGTAGGTTCCCCCATTATTGTTTTTGAAACACCACGGTTTATTTGACAAAAATAAATTAAAGCAAAACAAAGAAATAGCCATCGTTAGCTTCAAGGTCAAGCTATCCGCTTGCACTGACAATCATCTGCTCACACAAACTGATGTCTGCTGTGCACTTGCTTGCTATCTCATAACAGTTTGTGATTGGGTGATTAGTAACTATGGCAACTTGTTGAATGTGTGGATGAAGAGAAACTAAAGAGGCAAAGAAAGAATAGAAGAATAAAGAAGAAAGAATAAGCGGTGTTTTACGTCATCCATTGTTATCTTTATCATATTTTACGACTGTCCTTATTATCTTTAAGACTAAGTACTATGATTTTATGCTGTTTTATGAACTGTCTAATGTTTTTATTGACATTCGATAAATGTCGACATATGTTCTGAAACAACATTTAGTAGTAGCCTATGCTGACTACGGTAGCTTGCAGTACTAGACTTTCTATTTTTCTGTTCTTTACGTGATTTATTGCTGTACGTACAGTGTTGTGTAATTTTTGTTTTGATTGAGTAAGCGTGATTTTAAACGTTTCAGTTTTTATTACTGAACCAAGGTTATTGACTTAACATATCACGATTGCGCAATACTATTATTTGTATTTTGATTATGTAAAATGCACTAAATCCGGTTAGTCCGGCCGTTTTGTAGTTCGGCCAGTGGTCCGGTCCCAAGGTGGCCGAACTAGAGGAAGTCTACTGTATTAGTTTTTAGATGGTTCAGGCAGACACCTTCGTTAGACCTCTGTACTTATTACACACAAGTTGTTAAATAAACTAAACAATTTTTCTTCTTGTGTCAGATGACTACCGGTTTTGTAATGAGTGCCATGCCAGTTTTTGGTTTGATTACCGAAGTGCCAATAGTTCTTTTTTCAGCAACATTATGTTTTTTTTACACTTGTTTATCTTGGTTATAAAGTTTCCATACAAAAAGTTATGATTTGGACTGATCAAGCCGGCACTATATATTGGTCATTGGGCTAACTAGGAGTACGCTCTGAAGTCGCGTATGAGAATGAACGAAGACAATTCCATGCATACAAATAATCCTTCTTAATGGTACCTATTAATTCTATTCTTTCTACATAATCAGTTGCCAGCAAGCAGTTTGAATTTGCTAAAGCCCTAAGTTAGATCAAATTATTAATTTTCACTAAAAGGGGTCTCGACTGTACTTTGGGAAATTGAGGAAGGACCAAAAATGAGGGAATTTGCTTTATCATGATAACAAATGGACAACAGTTAAAAGGTAGGGAAACTTTAAACTTTAGTTCACAATGCAGTACTATCATGTGACAGAAAGTATGATTAAAAATCATGGTCTGAGTTTCACTTCTTCAAATTAAGTATTATTATGAACATATTTTTTAAACCTAAAGGATTCTATGATGCACATGTAAACTGATACATGAACAAATAACATATTTCAATGTATTACTGTAAAAAGGAAATTTCTCAATTCTGCTTCTTAGTAACTTACTATAAAGTAGTCAAGCTATGAAAAAACCTTACAATTCTTTGATATTTTTTATTACAATAAAACTTTCAGACAATAACAGAAAGACTATCTTCTACATCAACCATAAAAATTACAAATCACAAAATTGAAAACAGATGTAATTTGTGTAGTAGCCCTTAGAATTAGAATGAATATTAATACTGTAATGTTTACACAAAAGCTTAACAGATCTAGTAATTAATGCATGAGCACCCTAGGTCTGTTGTAAATATTAATTTGAGGTAGCCTACTTCAGAATTATCATCAATTGTTTGATGGCACAAAATGATGTTTATGTAAAATGCATGTAAGAAAAATCTACTATTTAAGTAAGTTATATCTTGAAGTGTAGGGACCATGACACCAGAAGAAATCCTTTTCAAAATTAAAAAGAATAATTAATTAATCCTGACTAAAGAATTTTCTGAATAGGGTTTTTGCTAGCTTTAGTAGCTTGTACTGTATAGGTAGTATACATACAGTAGCAATAAATACAGTGTAATGGAAATTGAATGTGAGGTAAAAAATAACATGATATATATTTCAATTTGTTTTATTGTCTATGTAATAGTTTATACACAATATTGTAACAGATAATTAATTAGGCCTACTGTACATACAATCAAGAAGTAGGTACTATATTTTGTCTTCGATAATTACTTACATACTGAGCTTAGTATAAAATAAATAAATCTGACAAGTTTGATCAAAATATATCCACAAACAAGCCAACTACAACATTTTAGAATATTCCCCATAAGAATAACATTCGGAGTTTTAAATGAAACATATTTTTAATTTTCTCCGTAACCAATAACCGTACAAAAACACTTTGATACTGTATACTAAATTATTTTTTTAGGCTCTTTCAAAAGGTCTGGAGAAAAATTGGTTAATTTAGTGTTTTAAGGGTAAAAATGGAAAAACCTATTTTTACTCCATAAAATCCCCAGTTAAACCTAGATCCCATGGTCAAATCATGCTGGTTTGCAAATTCATTCAAGTTTATCCCGCACTACACCTTCAAACCAAATTTTATCAAAATCAGACCAAAATTCTATTCTGCTAGTAAAGACCTTTAATTTGATGTGCATGTATGCAACCTATGCTTCTATTTAAGATTTCCTTCAGGCTCCTTGCGGGACGTTCCCATGATATGACAGAAAATTTAAAGTTCCTTTAAAAAGTAGATTTTTAGGTGTGGTGTTGATGTACCAAATCTTACATATTAAAAAAATTTGGTTTTTCTTTTCCAAGTTTGCTTGGTTTTTCTACCCGACCGATTTTCATGATTGAGGTCTCAAATTAGTATGCACGCACAGATTTACCATCAGGCATCGGCATATAATTATCTATAGTCTTACTCGGTTTATACGTAAACAAAATTTGCTCCCCATGTATTTCTTATGGGAGTTAAATTTGGTTTTTCTTTTCCGAGTTCGTTTGGATCTTCCACCTGACCGATTTTCATGATTGAGGTCTCAAATTGAAGGTATGCACGCACATATTTGCATCAAGCATCGGTGTTCATAAATATATATATTTAACTATAATCCAAATCGGTATATATGTAAACGAAATTTTCTCCCCATGTATTTCTTATGGGAGTTAAATTTGGTTTCTCTTTGCCGAGTTCGTTTAGCTCTTCTACCCGACCGATTTTCATGATTGAGTTCTCAAATTGAAGATATACACGCACAGATTTGCTATCAAGCATTGGCATATAATTATCTTTAGTTCAACTCGGTTTATACGTAAACGAAATTTGCTCTAGTTATGTATTTCTTATGGGAGTTAAATTTAATTTCTCTTTGCCAAGTTCGTTTAGCTCTTGTACCCGATAGATTTTCATGATTGAGGTCTCAAATTGAAGATATACACGCACAGATTTGCCATCAAGCATTGGCATATAATTATCTTTAGTTCAACTCGGTTTATACGTAAACGAAATTTGCTCTAGTTAAATGTATATTTCTTATGGGAGTTAAATTTGGTTTCTCTTTGCCGAGTTCGTTTAGCTCTTCTACCCGACCGATTTTCATGATTGAGTTCTCAAATTGAAGGTATGCACGCACAGATTTTCCATGAAGCATCTGCATATAATTATCTATAGTCTCACTCGGTTTATACGTAAACTAAATTTTCTCTCCATGTGTTTCTTATGGGAGATTTGGTTTTTCTTTTCCAAGTTTGTTTGGCTCTTTTACCCGGCCGATTTTCATGATAGAGATCTCAAATTAAAGGCATGCACGCAAAGATTTCACATCAAGCGTCGGCATATATTTACCTACTGTATTACTCGACCAAAAAACATAATGAGATTAATTTTCAAATTCTTACTTCAATTTAAGATGTAGTACTTGGGGACCAAGCTTTGCTCGAGGAAAATCATTCCCCCACTCTGCGATGCCAGCCTTTACTACTTCCTTCACCATTTCCTACGTCACGGACCTGTTTCCTTCCCTTCTCATACCATTTAAGTATTAGAGATACATTAATCTAACTGCCACAAACGGTTCCCACACTCTGCGATGCTAAACTTTACTACTTCCTACGCCGTGGACCTTTTTTTCATCTTTTTCCATAGCATTTTAGTATTATAAATACATTAATCTAATTTCCACAGACATAACCCACACTCCGCACTGCCAGCATTTACTACTTCTTTCACCATTTTCCATGACTTGGACATGTTTCCATGCCTTCCCATAGCATTTCAGTATTTTAATTTCAGATACCTAAATCTAACTGTTACAATTAATTGGTTTCCAGTTCCCAGACTCCACACTGCTCGCCTTTACTACTTCCTTCACTTCTTCCTACGTCACGAACCTGTTTCCCTCCCTTCCCATTGTATTTTAAGATTGCAGATACCTTAATCTAATCCTCATAAACAGTTCCCACACTCCGGACTGCTCGCCTTGACTACTTCTTTCACCGCTTCCTACGTCG